TATGTGTATGTGTATGTGTGTGTGTGTGTGTATATGTGTGTGTGTGTGTGTGTGTGTGTGTGTGTGTGTGTGTGTGTGTGTGTGTGTGTGTGTGTGTGTGTGTGTGTGTGTGTGTGTGTGTGTGACACTTCCAGCATCTCTCTAATGAGGCTGCAGATCTTCAGACTGTAAACCAGCTCTGACCATGCAGCACAAGACATTTTAACATCCAAAAATAGAGCCCATTTTTATCAAATTTTGAGAAAATCAGCAAAAATAAAAAGCGAATCAAAGCTTGTTTTCATGCACTACTGTAATGCAATTAGAATCGAATTTCGTGAAAATAGGCTAAAGAAAATGGGATTTAATGCTTGTTTTCATCTACTTATGTGAGCAGAAATCCAAATCTAAAACTGGTTTATTTCCAAGTAGGTTTATACATTAAAGGAATTTGCTTCGGTGTGTATGGTGCATACTGTACATAGACACGCTAAGACTAAGTACATTTTTTGAAAAAGGGTCAAAAACATAAAAAATATAAAGAAATATTTACACAAAGTCTAAATACAGGTAGAGGGATGGGGAAGGCGTTTGACTATGTATATGTGTGAGTATGTAGGTGTGTATAAGTGCATATATGTGTATGTGTGTGTGTATGTACATACGTGTACTGTATATGTATATATGTCAATCAACAGGTAAAGCAGATTAATAATAATGATGACAATAATAATTAATAATAATGATAATTATTGCAGATTATAGATTATAAATAAATCATTTAGGGACAAGGGGGTGAGATTAAATAAATTATACTTCTTCTCACTCCTTTTCAAACACTAGATGTGGGACTGTTTATGTTGCTAATGCTGTTGTTGTTGTTGTTGTTGTTGTTGTTGTAAATGTCATTTTTTGTTTTGATTTCTCTTACATGACTATGCACTGCAAAAAAAAATTTTGTAATTATTTTACTTGTTCGAAATAAAATGTATCAATCAATCAATCAATCAATCAATCAATCAAATATGCAAAAAAACAAAGCACAGAAAAATATGACAAAATACCCTGAAAATAATAAATGGAATATGTGCAGTATTTGTAGTAAAGTGGAAACCCGTGCAGATTAAAATAATTAAAAAATAAATGTTATGGACAGAAATGTGCAAAGTATACAAGGCTTTAGTTGGTCATAAAATGTTGAAAAATGTGAGAAACTGGACATTTATGTGAGATTTTAATGTATTAATGTGAGGCAGGTTACATCAGATCAGTGTGGAGCGATGAGGAGAGTATCTTCCTCCTCATCACACGCTTAATGTACGTCATTAATTATTAACTGAATCCAATCCACTTAGTTGCATTTCGCTTCAACAAGCTTATTTATAGACAGTAAATGCTGGTTCTCATGCATGGTTGATTTGTTATATATATTTCATACAAACACTTTATAATACTTCTCAGACAAGCGTCAAAACTTTTCCGCAGTATATCACGATTTCTTCAAATGTTCTGTGGCAAACAAAGAGCTGTTTTTCGTTGGCTGTTATTGGTGTAGCGCTGGGAAATGGGGAGGTTGTGGCTCAGTGGTGAGTGCGCTGATCTTTGGATCACGGGGCACTGGTTCGAATCCAGCTGCAGTCAAACATTCTGCTGTGTCCTTGGACAAGACACTTCCTGTGGGGATTGCCCACAGTATTGAATGTATGTAAGTAGCTTTGGATAAGCGTCTAACAAGTGACATGTAATGAAATATATGTTAATACAATATAGCTATTGTAAAATAAGACAAGATATCATCTCTTATGTTAGATATCATAAGAGTTATTTTCCCTGGTTTTAAAGTCAAGTGTCAATGAATCCATATATCTGATTCATAATTCTCAATGTGTAAATATTTAGTAAAAGCATCCGGTACCTTCAGTATTGTAATTTGATTGAGATATTTTAACAGAAGGATCAGGATATTTAAAGATCCTAGTCTCTCCTTGACACAGCCTGTACATATTTGGCTGAAGGTTTTTCATCTTGTTATCTTCAAATGACTTAGTATAGATTCATTGTGAATTAAAATCAGGTGGTTAGAGTCTACTAGTCTAGTAGTCATACACAGTTAATCTGGGTTTAACTGGGAGAAGGCAGTTCATGCTATGATAACAATCCAATCTGACACACTGCCTGAGACCTGCAGCGATACAACAGGACTCTATCAGACCTCGTTAGACTGAGATAATGAGCATTACCCCAGATAGGACGTGGTGTTTACAGAGTGTCTGTCTGTCTGCAGGGTTACACAGCAACTACTGGACGCATTTTAATGAAACCTGGTCCCAGGAAGAACCCATTACATTTTTGAGTGGATTCAAATCCCGCTGAGGACACACTCATTTCTTTCTTGCAAGATTGGACATTCGTGCTGCATTCAGTGGCGTCAGAAATATCTGAAAAATGTGTTTCACACTGGGAGAATTCAGGAAAAACAGCTATTAACGAAATAAAACAAAAACAGTGCGTGTTATCCATAGCGTTCATACTTGTTTCCATATTAAGACTAAGGGTGTGTTAATTAATTTGCTCCTGTGGGTGTTGTCCACAGTAATGACTCTTACATGTCTAATATGTGTATTGTGTAATTGTAAGGCACTTTGAGCACCCGGAAAAGCGCTCTAATAAAAATGTAATGCATTATTATTATTATTATTATTATTATTATTATTATTATTAACCAACCAATGAAGTCTTAAGAACAATCGCAAAACTCAGGAAACTGGGTCATTCAAAGAGCACCTGAATGCAGCATGGTTCTCCAAGTATCATTTTAGTTTTAATTCGGGTTATTATGTATTTATGTTATTGACTACTTAAACCTGCTGATGAATGATTCAAACCTTTGATAGGAGGTTATGTGTTTCATTCGTCGGTCTGCACGATGAGAAACTACTGGCCTGATTTTAATGAAACTTGCTGAAGGGTGTAGCGAGAACCAAGGAAGAACATTTTAGATTAAGTTCAAATCAAAGGACAGATGCATTAAGTTTCCCTTTCTTTGACATTGATAGATTTAGGGCGTTTGTGCTGCACTCATGTGGAGTAATCTGAAAAAATAACTATTGGAATATTCAACTAATTGATTCTTTGACAAATCGTTTGAGCGGAACTATTGTAGTGTAAAAAATAAATCAGTTGATGAAGAAGTATACTCAAGAAATATATATACTCTAAAATAAAATGTGAACTTAAGTACAGCATGTAAATATACTTATATTTTAACATTGCAATGTGCAGAAGCTTTCAAGCATCACGTGGAGATAGAAAGGTCATAAAACTGGAGAGCTAAGTGCATTAGTTTTTATATCTCTCAGCTGACAGTATTTTGTTTGTTTTATTTATTATCTTTCCACACAGGTTGTTTCACGCAGTAAGTAACCCCATATTTTTTAGAGTGTGTTTCACGGTGTATATTTTTTCCAGCGTGCTCCGTAATGTTTCCCAGAGGGCCGAGCTGTCACATCAGACGGAGTCGGCTTCACCTCGAGGCTCGCAGCTCTCGTCTCCAACACGTCGCTCATCATTCACAAACACTACAAACACTGACTCACACGCTCCTCTGGGAGTTGTAGTCTTTCACATCAAAGATCTGTAGTCTCGTACAGCTGCCTGTTCCTAACGAGCGATGAACGAGATTCTCCTTCAAAGCAACGAGGCGTTTAATCATCAAAACTCTGAGATAAGAGGCGCTGTGTGAAATCTGAGAGGTTGATCTGAGGCGAGGAATCACAACCGTTCACACGTCTGAATAAAAAATCTGAAGGAATATAAAAGTACGTCTCGATATCTCTATTTAAAATCAGACCAATTAAAGTGAAACAATGAGATGAGGGTAATGCAACAGTTATGGAGGCCAACCGCAATTAGACACGAGAGAAGAAGGAAAAGGAAGATGGGTCAAGGCCCGAGGAACGAAAACAGAACAAGACGCTTCTTATTATTTCTGGAAAAGACAAATAGAAATCCAACTGACATCACTATGTAACACTCGCACTTCTATTGGCTAGCGCTAGAACACATTGTACATGATAGGCTAAGAGGCGTTACATCTTTAAGCAATTGACCAATCACAACAGAGCCAGCCAGCTAACCAATCAGAACAGACTGGGCTCTGGTTTCCGACAGAGGGTGAAAAGAGGTGCTGCAGCAAGTGACACTACATACTGATATACACCTGAACATCAGCAGGAGAGGACTCTTTAAAGTAGAGACACTACATACTGATATACACCTGAACATCAGCAGGAGAGGACTCTTTAAAGTAGAGACACTACATACTGATATACACCTGAACATC